GAAGGCTGGTAGTTCAAACCCACCAGCCACTCCTTGGAAGGAAGGTTGGGCAATCTACTTCCATAGTGATACTGCCTCAGAAACCCAAGAAGGGGTGGCTATGAGTCAGGACTGACTCGACAGCATATAACAACAACAACAACAACAACAAATGCTTCTTCTTTGTTCCCAACTTTTGCACTCCAGTCACCAGTAATTATCAATACATATTGCTTGCATGTTTGGTCAATTTGATGTCAAAGTGATAGGATCAAAATAGCTGTGTCAAAATGTCTTATAACTTGTTCTCAATTGGGATTTTTGCCTTATAAGCACTGCAATATATGGGGAATTTTAAGAATCAAATAAAGGTGGTGGCATGACAAAAATCATACCACTGAAGTAAAGTAAAGGTGGCTTTTTTCTCATCCTAAATTTATGGGAAAACTATATAGATTTTTCCAAGAAGCCCATGTGGCTTGCTCCTGACATGCCCCAAGATGCTCATATGAAAAGTATGCTTCTTGGTGTTGAAGGGGAGTAAACTGGTATAACATTTATGGGGGTAACTTGGAGATGTGTCCAACTATATTTATATTATATTATATAGGGTTCCTTTTAAAGTTTTTTCCTACCTCTGACACAGAAACTCTATTCCACTGATTTATATTAAAGAAATATCAGAAATGCACAAAAATATCTATAAAGAAATTCACAGTAGCATTAATTATCACCAGAAAAACAGATGTAATGTAAGTATCTAAAAAGAGAGAGTTGGTTAATTAAATAACAGCATAGCAATAAAGTGGAATATTATCAGTGATCTTTTCAAAGAGCAAAGGAGAATCCACTGGAAATGGAAAAAGCAGGGCACAAAACTGCATAAAGGACACATTTGCAATTCTGCAGAAATAGGACCTATTACACACACACACACACAGTCTATAAGGAAATACTCCAGCATGGTTATCTCTGAATTTTGGAGTTATGAGTGATTTTTATTATCCTCCTTACTTTTCCGTATTTCCTCCAGTAAGCATCCATTGCTTTTATGATTAGACAGTCCACTGTCTCCTAGCCACAAATACCACTAGAAGCCAGATTTTCAAAGAACAATGACACCAGCAGGCTACTTTGCAGGGAGTTACCAGTGTCCTCTTCAGTGAAGGATGTTTTTCCAGAAAAGACCTGGTTTCCTATCTGTATTTTCCCTGGGCGGAAGTAGGGTCCATCCAGCTTGTTGTCTTTGCAGAGCTTGGTGAGGATCTCAGTGGGTTTGGACGTATCTCTCCAGGCATTGTAGCCTTCTCTGAAAGGTGGAGAAGGACGCACGGGGTGAGGGCTGACTGCTCACCTAGAGAAGACGCGCTCAGAGTTCCTCATTGATAGGGCCCCCCCAAGCACCATGTGTGCTTTCTACCAGATTTGACAGCTGGGACTAGTGCATTTGTTTTTTAATTCCCTTCCTTCCTTGTCTAGTTAAACACCTCTGCATGCGTACAGCTTACATGCCAGGCGGGGCTTCTAAATAGCTTGACGTCAAAATTCTTTGCAGTCAGTTTTCCTGTGTTCCTAGCGGGACAGCTCTGGTAGTGTAGTGCCTAAGGCACTTGACTGCTAACCAGAAGGCTGGAGGTTCAAACACACAGCCACTCATCAGAAGGAAGATGGGGCAATCTACTTCCATAGTGATACTGTCTTGGAATCCCAAGGAGGGGTTGCTGAGTTGAGTCCGACTCGATGGCACATAACAACAACAACAATAACAATATATATATGTATGTATGTATATATATATATATATATATTTCTTTTCCTCCTCTCTAATCAGTGATTTTCCTATTGGTGAGTTTTTAAACCTTTTCAATTTCCTCTTCATTTAAAAGTGAGAGTTTTAGTTAAGCTGCTACTTAATCTAAGGGGAAAGCCCAGCTCATCCTTTTCTGTTTCTCTGCTTCTTTCCTCCCCTCTCTCCCTAACCCCACCCAAAAATCATATAGACTGATGTCACAGGCAGGATGTTTTCATATATATATATTTTTTCTTATTGGTGTGTTTTTAAACCTTTTTAATTTCCTCTTCATTTAAAAGCTAGAGATTTGGTTAAAAATTATTAACTTACAATGAAGTGCCGACGTGGAGTCTATTTGGTTATGAAAGCTGTGCCTTGCCTGGTCTTCCTAGAGTGTGGGCAACTGGGACAGTGTCCGGAGCCCTGGAGCCTGGACGCTAACACAGAACACCACTGTGTCTCCATGGGGAAGAGAACTTACATCTCATACTGGCTCTGCAAGCCACAGATGGCCCGGTGTTTGCTGTAGAAGCGGTTTTCCAGGTCGATCTTGGTCTCACCAATGAGGTCATCTGTCCCGATCACGTCATGGTCATAGATCAGGACGGAGAGCAGAGACTCCATTGGGAACGTGGCCTGGATCTCAAATGACCTGCAACCCAAACAGAGGCTCCAGGAGTCAAGTGTGTTTGGCAGCACAGGGAACCTTTCCCCACTTCACGTTTAGGAGGTTGGTGGATTAGGCCTACTCAGAGGCACTGCAAAAGAAAGCCCTGGAGATCTGTTCCTGCAAAGACCATAACCAAGAAGACCCTATGGCACAGGCATCTCCTGGGATACACAGGGTTGTCATGAGTCAAGGGCCAACTTGATAACAGCAAACAACAGCAACATGGTTCATATGAAGTGGGCAGTGTGGTTCAGTGGGAAGATGCTTCTCTTCCATGGTTTGATTCCTGGCCAATATTTCTCAAGGGCAGCCACCACTCGTCTGTCAGTGGAGGCCTGAGTGTTGCTATGATGCTGAGCAGGTTTTAGTGGCGTTTGTAGACTAATACAGACTAGGAATTGAGACCTGGTGATCTACTTCTGAAAAACCAGCCAATGAAAACCTTGGATCACAACAGTCTGATCCTGCTGGGCCTGGGGTTGCCTTGAGTCAGGGGAGGAGTTAGGGGCCAACTCAATGGCACTAACAGGAGTTTACATGAACTCATTAAATGCTCAGCGACTCAGCCAATACTTGGCAGACTTTTATCTGGTTTCATTTTTCACTGACACACAATCAATTCCTTTGTCAATTTCCAATAGCCAATAATCTCCCTTCCCATGGGCCATGTCTTGCTGTCTTCAACTAGGGTGACATCACGATGTAGAGGAGACACCTTGGGTTTCGGCATCACATGAGCAGATTTCCAACCTTTGTTTCAAATCTTTCATTTACTGGTTGTATAACTTTGGGACAGTCATTTCATTGTTCTCAGCCACCTTATGTGGCTGATAAATATGTCAGGGATAAATATGTCTTTTTTATAAGCTGGGATAGTGGTTAAATGCAATGTTGTTTATATAAAGTTCACATTTTACTGCCACTAGCACTGAACTGGTGGTCAATAAATTTTAATTCCTTTCCCCTCCATTGTCTCGCCAGTGGGTTTAAGTGAAAACTCTACTGAGGACGGAAAACCATAAAAACTTAGACTTGGAGTCTCAGTGCTGTCTCTACAAGTCCTTGAGCCCCTTGAGGGCAGGGACCTGCTTTTCCATCTCTGCATTGTTGGTGCCTGCACTGCAGGTGCGGAACACAGACACTCAAAGCTTTGCTTGAACTCTTAAAAAAAAAAAAAAAATTAAAAAACCTCACTGCCATTGAGTCAATTTGACTCATAGCAATCCCCCTTTGGGTTTCGGAGGCGGTATCTCTACAGAAGTAGACTGTCCAATCTTTCTTCTGAGGAGTGGCTGGTGGGTTTGAACTGCCAGCCTTCTGGTTAGCAGTCAATTGCCTTAGGCACTATGCCACTAGAGCTCCTGCTGCTTAGAAATCAGCCCATCCAAATCCCTTCATCTTACAAATAAAGACGCTGAAATCCAAGGAACTCTGAACCTTGTCCAGGATCATGAATCAGGCTGAACTGGGACAAGCCCCAGTGTCCTGATTCCTACTTCGGTTCTCCGTCTACCAGGCCACACCAACACAAGGTGTCTCCTGGAATAACACTGCAGCTGGGTTCCTTGTGACCATGCCAGTAAGTACATTCAAGTAGACACCTGAGAACTCAATTTTGAGTGAAATTCAGCATTTTAGGGAAATATCTCTCTGAAAACAAAAGGAGGACACACCAGTGTTTCTCCTGCTGCCATGTCTAGTTGTTCTGGATTCTGGCAGCTCTGGGACAGGGTGAGATGGCCTGGCTGGGAGCAGGGGACAGAGAGGAGGAAGGAGGGAGGAGTGGGCTCATTCTTGCCCAGCCTGTCTGGGCTGTTCTTTGCATGTTCAGATCCACTTTGTTCTGATACTCGGTCCCTAATGGGACAGGGATAGCAATTACCCCATCACCTGGAGCCAAGTAACCGTCCCCAGAGAGAAAAGAGCAGATACTTGCTTGACAGCCCATTGGCTGAAAGTGGCTGAGTGTTTGGCTACAGCTGGGGCAGGAGGTAGTGGGGCGGGGGGCACATGTATCTTTCCATCTGGGGACAGGATTGCCTTCATTGGGCAATCTTACAGTGTGGACTACAAACCATAGTTGATATTCTGGAGACGTCTCACAAGGAAGCCTCCAGCCTCTGACCCCTGTGCTCCGCCATCTCCATGGACGCACACCACAAGAACGTATGAAGTGCTTAATTTCCACTGCAACTGGAGAGAAGGCTCAGTGCCCTGGTCTGCTCCTCAAGCTGAGTGCTCACAGATGAACCTTTCCTGAATTTTAATTGGAACTGTCATTAAGGGAGCAACAAAAAACAGCCTGTAATGTTGGATCTGTGGTTAGTCAGGGCAAAACTGGGCTTATGTCAACTGTGTACCAATGAGATACAGTCTCTAGGTGCAATGGCAGTTCAAGACAGGAGAACGAATTTTGAAAGGGGCAAAAAGTGTGGGGAAAACATGCAACATTCAGCACCTCCAGGCTCCAGAGCAATGGCATTGTCCCATTGGTCCTTGTTCATTCATTCATTCCTTTATTTATTCGTCTGTTCACTTCATACTTATTATGCATGCACCAAAGGAGCCCTGGTGGTGTAGTGCCCAAGACATTTGACTGCTACCCATAAGGTTGGTGGTTCAAACCCACCAGCCACTCCATGGGAGGAAGACAGGGCAATCTACTTCCATAAAGATTTACCACCTTGGAAACCCAATGGGGGTTACTATGAGTCAGAATCGACTTCATGGAAGTGGGTTTTTTTTTTTTTTTTTTAATTAATGCCCCAATTTCCAGGTACTCTAGTTATTAAAAAATGACTAACAAAATTTCCTATAGAGTTATGGGCAGGGTGTTGTGAATACACCCATCTGGGGAAGGGAGTAAGGAAGGTTTCACAGAGAGGACACTTTAGCCGGGACTTGAACATAGATAGGAACTCTCTCTGTTCCAGATATATGGGACTTTTGGCCTTTGCCATCTGAATCCAACCAAGTCAAGTCCTCCTATTATACATCTTCAAAAAGCCATGCACCTCATTTTGTAGTGTTGATCACACAAACAATTTTATATTTGTCTAATTTTTTTTTATAATGGTTCACACACTTGGCTGGTAACCAAAAGGTGGGAGGTTCGTGCCTACTCAGACATACCTTGGAAGAAGTGCCTGACAATCTGCCTTTGAAAAACCAGCAATTGGAAACCCTATGGAGTATGGTTCTACTCTGACCACCTGGTGTCACCAAGCCGCAGAATCAACTTGATGTCAACCGTTTTTTGTTCTGGTTTGCTTTTTTGGTTTTTAATTTTGAGGTTAATGTCTGCCTCCTCCATGAGCCTATAGGTTTCATGAAAGCAGGGCTGTGACATCTGTACTGTGACACAGTACCTGACACACTGCCCATACCTGAATGACTCTCTGGTTGGAAGAAACAAGCCCTTGCAAAGTAACCCCAGTTCCTGTTCCATCATGTCCTCTCTTTCCTCTGGACTCTGGACATGCTGTTCTCTGAGTACACCATCCTTCAACTACCTCAGACACCCCCAAGATAGTCAGGTGCCCACCCATATGTTCTTATGGGACCTGCCACATTCTGTTACCAATGCCCACTTAGTTGATGTTCTTTTCAATATTCATAGGACCCTTGAAGGTATAGACCGTGATTGATCACCACCATGTTCCAGCCCTGAGCAGAGGGCTCAACGCATGGGGGATCCCAATAATTGTGAGGAATGAATAAAGGTCTCCAGGGGACCTGTAAAGGAAGACCATTTCATGGCAGGGGTACAGCGAGGGCCCAGGCTGGTGTGTGTGAATGAGCAGGTTGAGCCACAGGACTGGTTAATAATCCATAGTCCATGTCCTCACACCTCATCATTTTTCTTTATGGCTAATTTTCAAAGCAATGGAAATAACGGGAGACATTCTGAGAAACCATGAAAGCCACAGGGAACTGCCAAAGCCCATAGATGTGTGTACCACCTCAGGATAAAGCAGAGAAACGGAGTTCTATCACACCACACTGACAACTGCCCTGACAGCAGGCTCATTCCTCCATGAATTCATTCGACAAATACTTATTGATGCTCATGCCAGGCTCTGTCCTTGGTGCTGAGGACCTCTGCTCTGATGCACTTTACATTACAGCAGAGAAAGGAGAGAGACAACGAACACAGAAACGTGTTGATATGAGGAAAGTAAAGCAGAGCAAAGGCCCAGGGCATACGGAGAGGAGCCAGTGATGTCGTCATGGGAATACCAAGGCAGTGAGGTCCACGAAAAGAGATCCCCCAGGGCCTGGGTCACCCCAAGAGTCCCCACCCACCCCTCTTGAGCACTGCAAGATTTGGGAGTCAATTTTACTCCTGAGTGACAGATGTGCACCTGACCAAGTGGCCCCAGATGGAGGCTTTTGGAAGAAGAAGCAGCCCTACAATTCCAGAAGCAGGAGCGACTGTTCTGTCACCTTAAATTGTTTCCATGGCCATTAAAGGGGGCATATCACCAATCAAAGTCATGTCACTGTGGTGAAAAAGCTAAGTACTTGACAAAATGGTGCTTGTTACATAAATGACAGGTGATGATAAAGGTCATCTGTAGGTGCAGGGAAGCAGGTAAGTTTCCTGGCACTATTAGTCTAAGCACTCCCATTCATCTGAACAGGCAAAGATCATTTATTGCCTCATTTCCTCAGGGGCAATAAAATGTAAGAGGTTGGTGCTGATCAAATGTCAGTGGGTCCAAAAGGATCACAGAAATGTGAATGAATTTAAATGAAGCTGATAGAGACTTCCTCCCATGCTTCTAGTTCCTTGGGAAAAAAAAGAAATTAAATACAGTTAAGATGTATCCATTGCTAGGATGCTTGTCAAGCGGGAGGGGGATGGCACTAATGTCTTTCAAGCATCTACTGTGTGCTAGCATAGAGAATGTGTTGGGAACTTTACATGTTTAATCTTCTGAAGGATCCTAAAGGTCAGGTGTCGCTGTTGTTGCTTTACCAGTGTGGGAACCTAAGATCAGAGAGGTCAAGCCATCTGCATAAGGTTAGATGGCTTGTAAGTGGCAGAGAAAAAGCAAAACACAGATCTGCTTGACTCTAAAATTGATAGCAGCCAGGGGCCCAGACTCAAACATTTTCAGGACCAAGCAGGGAACACGAATGTATGACACCCTGTTATAAGACAATGGGGGTGACCGCAATGCCATAAACTGGAGGATACCTGGTCCATCTGAGCATATACAAATACTGAAAGTTTAAAAACACTCTGCAAGAAAACAAAACAGAACTAAGGGATACATATAGTTCAGTGTTTTGACCTCAAGGTGCACCTCAAACAAAACACAGGACTAGATGGTGAAAAACCATTTGGTAGGAGACAAAAGACCAAACTTCTCTCCCTCTTCCTCCACTTACAAGCTGTGTGATCTGGACTAAGTTTCTTAACTTCTCTGTGCCTCAGTTACCTTCTTTGTCAAAAGGAAATCTCAACCTGCCCAAAGGCAGGAGGTTGGATCCGATGACCCATCAAAGTGCCTCTTAACATCTAAGATCTAGGAGATCATTATTGGAAAACTGTGGGCACAAAGGTCATCATGTACCATCAAGTTCCTGAGGGGACCAAGCAATAGAAGTTTGGTTGTTGTTTTTAATAGAGACATCAGCATTTAACCTCAGCTACCATCTACCTGGACACACACACAGGCACACACCAACCTGCCACATGACCCCCAGAAACAGGGCAGCAGCAAACACAGAAAGGACAATACAACGTAGCCCAGCTGGCCACTGACCTTCCAAACACTGGGTTCAGTTGTTTGGGGATGTATTTTTCCCGGTCTTTGATTTCGGTTTTGCCAAGCTTGATGACGATGTAGGGATCTGATTTCCCATCCGGATCAGCTGGACTTAGATTAAATGCCTGTGGGAATGGGAGAAAGAGACTCCCTGTCATCCATGTTGGTTAATATGTGTTGGCTGCACACTGGAATCAACTAGGAGCTTTGAAAAATGCTGATGGCTGAGTTCTGTTCCCAGATTGTCTCATTTAACTGGCCCCAAGCAATGGAATTTTTGAAAGCTCTCTGGATGATCCTAGCATGCAGCCAAGGTTAAGAAGCACTGCTTTCATCTCTCCATTTTGTGTTGAAGTTGTCAGCTTTGCCAAATTCAACTTTCTCTGGCATTGTTTCCCCAGTGAAAAGCAGTTCTCACACATGTAGTGAGGAATGGGCTGGACCAGGAGGCAGAAGGCAGGACCCTGGTTTCTAGCTCTAGTTCTAACTGGTCATGTGTTCTTGGGCAAGTCACGTCCTCTCCTCAGATTTATCTGGAAAGTCGGGGGATGGACTTTGAAGGTCCCTCCCAGAAAGAATTGTCTCTCTCAATCCATGACTGACCCCATGTATCTTTCATTTAACACTGGCCAGTTGAGTGATGGTCTGTTTCCGAGGGTAAAGGACGAGGAGACAAAGTCTTCTCAAGCTCTATAGTTCAAGGACATTTCTCCCTTTACTCCCTCTTATTCATACTCTCTATTTCTGGGTTCCCCAAACTGTGTCTCAAGAACCTTTATTCTGAAGGGTTTTCTGTGAAGGGGAATAATGATGTGGGGCAGTAAGTTTAGAAAGTGCTGTTGAGGGTCCAACAGTTAAATAGGCCTTTTCTTCAGGACATCTTAAAACCTTGGATGTGCTAATGAGCATTGTGGATCTCAGAGGTTGGAGGAGGAAATTAATATTGTATGCAATACCTCTTGAACTTATTCGAACACATAGTCTTTTTCCTGAGGAATGCCTATTAATTATCTCCTTGAACACGTTACCTCCATAACAAAACTTTGCAAAATCTAAACTGTCCTGTGGATAGGTGTTTAAAGATAGACTACTGGGCATTATCAATGATTCTTGACAAATATCTCCATCCTTTCCAACTAGATTGTGACTGCCATGAGGGTAGGGACTGTGTCCTTTTCATCACAATATCCCTAGAGATTAGAACATGGTACATGGTAGTGGTGATGGTGATGTTGACAATGATGAAGGAACATGAGCGCTACATGACTGAAGAACATTTAGTTCTCTTAGCATTAAAGGATAATTTATCTTTATTTTATGTTTTATTTATGTTTGTAAAAAAGGATATAAGCAGTTTAAGCAAAGAGTTAATGTAAAAATAATATTGTTATAATCAAACAAAAGTGAAAGTGGCCAGACTTCACCTCTCATACTTTGGCCATATCATCAGATGAGACTGGTCCCTGGAGAAGGATACCATGCTTGGTAAAGTAGAGGGTCAGAGAAAAAAGGGAAGACCCTCAATGAGATGATTTGACACAGTGACAGTGACAATGGGCTCACACATAGCAACCATTGTGAGAATGGAGCAGGATCAGGCAGTGATTGGTTCAGTTGTACCTAGGGTCACTGTGGGTCAGAGTCAACTCAATGGCATCTAACAACAATCAAATAAGATTTTGAAAATAAAGTCCAAACAAACACAGAACTTTAAAGGCTCCTACAGTTGCTTTGATTGAACATTAAATGTAATCCTGAGCTTTTTTCTGGTCACAAAGTTTTATGATTAGATTTTCTACTCATTATCAGAAAGGGCGGAATGTAGAAGAGATAAAAAATTTTCTTGGAAATACACTTAATGTGAAATTTCTGACTACACCTGTGCAGAGGCGTGGCCCCGAGGAAGGATTTCAGAGTGACAGCAGCCCTGTTCTACCATGGCTCTGCCTTGCCTGAGATCTTCCTGCTTCAGTCCTATTTGGTTTCTTTCCCAGCCATCAGGCAACCACAGAACACAAAGCAAGCGACTCAGAGAAGTCCTAGATGCCCATGGAGGATTTTCCCCTCCAGCATGGGTGAAAAGCCAGGAGCTGTTCATGCTGCTGACTCAACTCCATGCCCCTCAGAGCAGACGAAGATGGCTCACCGCTACAATGTACACCCGGATCAGAACTTTGACCAGGTAGTTGGGTGGGATCCCTTGCTGAATTCTCAGCTGTCCACTCTCCTCGGTGTTGGAATCCTCAGGGCTTTTGTAGATGCAGAAGGAGCCCTGGAATTACAAAGAACAGCCCATTGAAGCAAGATGGTCACAAGTCTCACCAAAAACCAGGCAGGGCACAGGGCTGGGAGAATGAGCACTGGCAGGATCTGGGCTGGTGCTGCACTTGCCAGCTGATATCCTTGGGCAAGTCACATAACCTGCATGCATCTGAGCTTCTTCAAGGTGCATTCATGATGACACATGAATGCCTTCCTCACAGGAGGGTCAGATGAGGTCTTGAGAGCCTTCTGCATGCAGGCTGTTGTGCTAATGTTCTCCTCATTACCTCATCCTATCTTGACCCCACTATCCCTATTTCTAGATGCAACAATGGAGGGTCAGGGAAGTTAACCACACTGTTCAAGATCATGCAGGTAATAAGTATTAAAACTAGGATTTAAATCCAGATTGGCAAAAGTGCAGTGCCCATACTATTTCTAACACACCACACTTGCTGCGTATAAAGGACCCTGAACTCTAAAGTAGGTTCATAGTAAATGTTAGCTACTACTTTGTGATAAGGAGCTCTGGTGGTGTAGTTCCTAAGGCATTTGTCTGCTAACAAGAAGATTGACAGTTAAAACTCACCAGCCACTCTGTGGAAGGAAGACAGGGCAATCTACTTCCATAAAGATTTATCACCTCAGAAACCCATGGGGGTCACTATGAGTCAGAATCAACTCTATGGTAGTGTTTTGTTTTGTTTTGTTTTACTTTGTGATGCTGACACATGTCTGCCAGAAGAAGGTTTGTATAGACAGATTTGCATAAATTATACATTTGGGATATCAGGGATGGGAGGTAAGGGTTAATCTTTGCAAGGGGAGCAAAATTAAACTCAGTGGTCCTTTCAGGCAACAAGTCTGTCTCCTTGTATCCCACCAGAGTGAGCCCCAACTTATTTCACTGGCCACAGAAGAAAATATCTCAAAAGGTTGGAGCATATTCTTGTGGGGTTCCAGAGAGGGTCTTCGGTAAACATAAAGCATTTTCCTTACACCTAGCCCACAGCACAGTCCCATTGACAGAGTTGACTGGCAGCTGACATTGATGGGCAGGGAGAGTCAAAGAGGCACTGGAGTCTACCTTAAACTTTCCTATGACTCGATCTCCATCAACGTGGTCTTCTTCTGTAGACTTGCCTCTGAAAAGCTCAAAGGTTTTCACCCAGTCTTCAAAATTATTGAATTCACTCTCAAGATCACCATCGTATACCTTTAAAGAGAAGGGAGAAGATTGTGCTAAGAGGAAGGATCACTCAGGAGTGATTTAATAAGAAGCACTAAGATGTTCCAAAACTAGCCTTGATATATAACCTTCAGGAAAAATCTAAGAGATCATCGTTAGTTTCGCTTTAGCAAAGAAAGACATATGGTTGGCTCATCATTCCTAGCATACTCTGACATTTATAAAACTTTTTGATGAAATTTCAAATTAAAACAAGTATAATTTAACCAAAACTTTAAAAATACAATATAGAGATATAAATATGAGTAGCTTTTTATAGCTATTTAATGTCATTGGTTGTTGGCTATAGACTAATATTTTTAGGAAATAAAAATTAATAACTACTCATTCAGTATCTAATTATTAAAATATATAAAGTGATAGAATATTTGTTTTTATTATAATGTATATAGACTTGAATTTTCCAAATGGGAAATTATATATCAGCTTTAGAAATGCAAAATCACATTGAGTTAGAGGTTTGGCAATATAATGAAATTACTCATGCAAATTTTCTATCCAAATTGCTTATCTAGGCACATAATATTCATACTCTTAATTTAGATACCATCAATATGCCCATTTAGCTAATAGCTTCTGGCTAATGTTAAGACATTGGTTGACTTTGTTTACAGGTAAAACTTTTGCATTTTGAGCACTTACACATTTGCATGATGAGGTCAAGCTCAGAGGTGAGCCAAGGGGAACTCACAGACTATAAATTCCCTCATTGGAGGCAGGTAAAACCATGATAAGTTATGTCTTTTCACAATATAAGAATGTAAAAAATGGAAAATAAGTAAGCTCCATTGTCTTTGCTTACACACTTGTTTTATTGACATGAATTTCTCTGTACCAGCGATTACAATAAAGACAAAGTTATTTCAAACAAAGGCATCACTAACCAAAAGTTTGGCGGTTCAAGCCCACCCAATGGCTCCACAGGAGAAAGACCTGGTAATTTGCTCCTGTAAAGATTACATCCTAGAAAACCCATGGGAAGTCCTACTCTGTCACACAGGGTTGCTGTGAGTCTGAATCAACTCAATGGCACCCAAATCAGAGTTGACTAAAGCCCTGGCAGAACCCCAGATTTTGAATCGCCTGCCCCACCCATGGCCGAGTTTGTCCACACACCTGCAAAACAGCCAGGTTGGGAATTTCCTCTTCTTTGGCTTTCTTCTTGAGCATTTTGTCTTTCTTCTTCTTTGGGCCATCTTCTATATTTACCACCACCTGGTCTGTTTTTGTCTCTGTGGACATTCAGTAGAAATTGTTAGATGTCTGTTGAGACAGCTGTTGGGATTAGAAGGAGCAAAGCCAAACTCTCTCTTTTCCTTTGCTCTGGCATGCACCACGAATCTTCTTTTTAAAAAGAAATAGTAACATTTCACCATAGGGTTACTAGTATATCCTGCAAACTGGACACTGCATGAGCCCAGGAGATGCCATTCACATAGCAATGCAATGCAAAGGATCCCTTGGGCTGGGCAATGTGGTAGCTTGTCTCAGTATATATAAGAGTATATTAAACTAGGCACAGAAAGGGTATGCAATTTGCCCAAAGTCACCCAACCAGCAAAGAACCCATCCAGGAGGGATTGACTCCAAAGCTTATAGTTACACTCCCTCTCAGATCATATTCTATTTAAGGACATGGGAGACAGGTATATTCCTGTATAACTCCTATATATTCCTGTATTATTGAGCAACATGAGGTTCAAAAATGTATAAGGTCTTGCACAAAGTCATGTGAGCTTGTTGTCGTTAGTTGCCATCGAGTTGGCTCTGACTCAGCAATCTTGTACATTACAGAACAAAATCTTCCATCTTGATGACCATTGCTGTTTGAGTCATTACAGTAGCTATTATAGTGAGATTAGTCAGTAATTATTTTCCTGGCAGGCTCTGGAGTTCAACTGCCTGAGACAGGTTTCCAGCTCCACTGTTTTCTGGCCTTGGGCACATTGCTCAACCTCTCTGTACCTCTATTTCATCATCTGAAAAATGAGGGTAATATTGCCTATGCCATGGAGCTGGTTTTAAAATTCAAATGGTGATTGTGAGTGGCCTGAAGAACGGACCTGGCCCTCCTTCCCCTTCTTCTCTCGGTGTCACTGGACACGCACAGGCTCCTTGGATTGCTGGTGTTTTTTAGCCCAAGGCCTCCAGTTGCTTGAACTGAGTTTGTGGTTATTTCAAATCCTCAGGCTCTTCTGTTTGAGCCTCTGCCAGACCAGATCCGTCCAATCCTTGTAAACTGAGTTTTGGAACCTGAATCCAGACCTCTGCACACATTCCATCTGAAGTTGATCATGTTGGTTTTGGCCTGTCCTCCCAGAGTGTTCCTACTTTACTACACTGTTTCTACATTTAGGCTGTCAATGTAGGGACAGGAGCCAAGGGGTCAATTTCAGCACTGAACTGGATTCAGGAGATCTGGGATCTGTCCCAGTTCAGCTCAAACTAGCCATGTGACCTTTTTAGGCCTGCCACCTTCCCAAGAGTGTTTCCTCCACTGGGAAACAAGGAGATTGAACTCTGAGAGACTGCCCATGTCACCTATTTTATAATTTTCACACAGGATGGCCCATTTAATGTCCATGTGTCTTCAGAAAAGCCACTTACCTGTATTGTCCTTTTTCTCCTTGGGATTGCTCTCCTTTGCCTTTTGAGAAAAGAAGGATGTAAGATTACTGACACGCACCTAACTTATTCATCTTCACCGCCAGCCATTCGCGTTCAATTACCCCAGCTCTCTGCATTCCCAGAGATGACGTTTTAAAAGAGAGTTCAGCACAGCCCTCTCGCAACCTGCAAAGCACCCTCCAAATGAAAACTCACTGCAAAGACCTGGAACCTAAATGCAGTGAGTGAGACTCTGCCCTCTAGAAGCAGGGTCTATATACATCCTGGAAAAGTACCATAGGCTGCAGCCTTCCGGGACCTCTGAGTGCGGGCTTCTCTCAGCCACTGCAAAGAAGTCTCCTTCCCTGCTCTTTCTCTGTCTTTCCAAAGTATCAGCCCATCCTGCCTTATGCGTCCTACCAATTGGTCTATTGGGTCACTGAGTGAGTACCAGGGACTGGTGTGGGGGGTGAGGTGGCAGTAGCAGAGAAAGGGTAAGCTCACCGGAATTGGTAGCTTTCATCACAGCCAAAGGAAGAAGGTTAAGGGTAGGGATTATGTTTATTTGGTTTGTTCATTTAACTATATTATAATATTTGTGACATAGTGCAGCTGAAGAAACCATAGTCTTTTTACATTAAAGAATCAGAAGAGTTTCTATTCATTTAAAAATGATGATAACTAATAGGGGCTCAAGGAGCTGTGGTAGTGTAGTGCCTAAGGCACTTGACTGCTAACCAGAAAGTTGGCAGTTCAAACCCACCAACCACTCCTCAGAAGGAAGACTGGACAATCTAATTCCATAGAGATGCCACCTCGGAAACCCAAGGAGGGGTCGCTATGAGTCAGAGATGACTCAACGGCACATAACAACAACAACAACAACAATAAGGGCTCAACAATGTCACTGTAGTCCCAATGTCATGCTGTCCTACTGCCCACAGAAGCTGTAGTGGGTTGAATGGTGGTACCCAAAAAGATATGCCCATGTCCCAACCACTGGAATTTGTAAATGTGACCTTATTTGGAAAAAGGGATTTTGAGGATGTAATTAAGTCAAGGATCTTAGGATGAGATCATAATGAACTATCCAGTGAAAGGTGTCCTTAGAAGAGACAGAAGAAGACATAGAGGAGAAGGTCATGTGAAGACAGAGGCAGAGATTGGAGTGATGTGTCCACGAGCCAAGAAACACCTGGAGACCCCAGAAGCTGGAAAAGGCAGGGGCAGGTTCTCGCCTAGAGCCTCCGGAGGGAGCACAGCCCTGCCACTATGTGGATTTTGGCTCAGTGAAGCTGATTTGGGATTTGTGGCACCCAGATTATGAGAGAATAAATTCCTGTTATTTTTAGATACCAAAATAAATAAACATGATAGTAACTGATCATTTTCCTTTCCTTTTCCACTCAAGAGGGAGCTCTGGTGGCGAGGGAGCTCTGGGGGTCTTGCCAAATTCAGTCACTGAGCTTTAGCCATTAATCCCCATGCCCGCTCCCCACTGATTCTCCAGTTTTAAAACTCAGTCTCTTTCTTGTTCCTTTTGCATGAGGCCCTGCCCTGGCATCTGCCAGGTATCCCATTTTCTAAGACCAAGGCCTCTGTCTTTACTTGATGGTTTCCCATATGAACTGATCATATGGTTTCCCATATGATCCTGATGGAGACCTGGGCCTTTGACTTGGCTATCTCCAGATGTACCTGAGGCCCCATCACTGATACCCAGCTGACCCAAGGCCCATTTTCTCCTTCTGAGACTATGCTGAGTCAGACCAGTGGGCAGATCCCTCAGGTGCCCTGCTGAACTCAACTTGCTTCCAGATTTTACAGCAAAATCTGTGTCGTCGCCGATGTTTATCGCAGCACTGTTTACAATAGCCAAAACTGGAAACAACCTAGATGTCCAACAACTGAGGAATGGATAACCAAACTTTGGTACATTCACACAATGGAATACTATGCAA